TTTCTGTAGAACAGTAGCCCCCCATGCAGACCCACAGGAAGTAGTCGGGCTCGGAGGTAGCTGCCGTCGGCAGCGGGCCAGCGAAATCCCGGGGTTCCACCTGGACTGAAGGGTCTCCCTCAAGCCCTGGGGGAAAAGTTAGGAATCATAGATATAGTTCCAGAACAAAATTTCAACTCCATACTAGGAAGGTAACATTTGCAAAGCAAATGTATATGATAACCTTCACACGTCTGCTCTGTTAATTTTGCTCAAACACATTCATATATGGTCAGACGGGTCTAAATTCCTCCTGCTTTAAAATTGCAACATGATGTAAACCAACACCAGTTACCATGGTGACAGACGTCTGGTTCAGGTCATTGACCTTATTTGTTTGGACAAGAAGAGGAAACAGAGCAAAATATGTTTTTCTTCTGCGAAGGTAAACATAATTACAGGTAACACAGGTGTTTTAACATGAATTAGCGCCTCACCTGTGTGGTTCTTGACGAACATCCGTAGCTGGTCCAAGCTGCGCTCTGATTGGTTGAAGCGGGAGAGCGCCTTGCCGTTGTAGAACAGCATGATGTTGGGGACGGCGACCGTGCCGAACCGCGTGTTCAGGCTGGAACAACAGTTGCCATGGAGACACGTCAGTTACCATAGCAACAGAGCTACAATATCAGTGAAGTTTCACAAGACTAGAACAGACCCTAGAAAAAACTGCCAACCCCAGCCTTTTTTGTGTTTATCTCTGTAAGCTGATCAACGTTTTCTACTCCATAATCTGACACCTGAGTGATGAAGCGTTGCACAATCGATTTTCCAACATTTTCCAACGTCCTCATGCAAGTTTTACTTGTTAAAGGAGTACTAACCTCCAGAAGGAAGTGGTATTTTCCGATACATCATGCTGCAATGAATACATAACTAGTCGACTTTTTACGTAATTTCGCTTGTACGACTTGCGCGGCGCATGTTTCTAAAGCGATATCCAATATCATTTTCCCCCATGCTGAACCATAATCGATACATCCGGGATATCTGGCTTACGCAATACTCATACACTTCAAGTCAACATAAACATTTTTCGGCGAAAATGGTAGGAGACATGCTGATTATTGAGAAATTACTTGCTTTACTTTGCTGGACCTGTGGCTTTGATACTATAATATCAGGATGTCTAATGCAGTGGGCGCTAGTTTCATCCTGCGTGTTTTGATTTTCTCAACTTATTTGCATGTAAGTATTAATTGAACAGATAATTAGATTACGCCACTTATGGAAAAGATAACTAGATTACGCCGTTTTTTTCATCGTCAATATTTTCGGCATAAATGAGGGGCGATAAGGACATCAAGAAGGGCAATGGTTGGTAAGATACCAAAGAACACAAAACGGCACGAATTTTTCTTATCGCCCCCGAAATGAGGTCTGTAACGCAACTTTTTCTTTAAAACATAGACACAAATGGGGTAGCGTGGTGTATTCTGGGATAGTTTTGAGGGTATTTGGAGAGTTTGTCCTGGATTCGATGCGTTTTAAGACTTGCTCGCAAAATGGGCATTTGATTGTATACTGTAAAGTAATATGCATTTTTCACTTCCTAATATTAATGCCTGTCGGAATATAGCACCTCCTTCTGGAGGTTAGTACTCCTTTAAACTGCATTGTATAAGTTGGATCACTAGAGATTGCCAAAGTCTATAGAAAAAAGAAAGAAAGACTTACTTAGACAACACCAGACTCCTTTGCAGGCTGAATGAATAGTAGAAATCGGCGTACAAAGAACGTAGCTGGCCAGGGGAGTTGGCCGGCCAAGGATCCAAGGCAAAGTGGACCCTCTATCATATAGTCTATGGCCAGCCAACTCCCCTGGCTAGCTACCTTATTTTAGGCCGATTTCTACTATTAATCCAGCTGCAAAGGAGTCTGGTGGAGACTAGGACTGTCTGGACTTACTGGCTGTTGGCGACAGCGTCTATAGCGAGCACTGTGACCGCGGGGAAGGCCCGCGGCACGGCATGGTATGCGGGGGCGGCTGCGGCAGAGAACGGACACCACGGCGCGTAGAACATCACCAGCACGCAGTCACCCTCCGCAGTCACATTTCCTGCCGCAGTCTGCGTAACCTGGGATGGGGTTCGTTTGATTTGACTTATTGAAATTGTAATAATAAATCATAAAGGTAACATTTGCAAGGCAAATGCATAATGTTAACCTTTGCATAGTAGTCTGCTCTGTTAGTTCTTACTCAAACACATTCATATATATGGTCAGACAGGAGTCTAAATCCCTCCTGCTATAAAATTCCAACAAGATGTAATCCAACACTAGTTACCATGGTGACAGACAGCAACATTGGTTCAGGACAGAGCCCACTATTTGGAGAAGAAGAAGAGGAAATGTAGCAAAAACAATATGTTTTCCTTCGTTAAACATAACAAACCTTTAGCTGGTGGATGAGCTCCGAGCCGTTCACGACCTTGACAGACGGGGTCTCCTCACCGTGAAGGTCGCGCGCCGCACAGGTGACCTTCTTGGGCCCGACCTTCGACCCCGTGGCGTTCCCATCATCCTCCCTGTCTGACGCCTCACCTGTGCTGTTCTCACCTGAGTCAGATTTATTGAATATGGACCGGCATGTCACAGTGAAGTGCATGAAATATCGAGTACAGTATTAACAACATACAGCCCATTATTACAAATAGATAAAGAAGCCACGTGACAAGCCTCACTGGGTCAGTCTACTGAGGAAGACCAGAGTGACTGGTCAAAAGCTCTAGGTGAGAGAATTTTTTGTGTTGGATCGAAAGTTTTAACTCTAATTTAGTCTAAACACATAAAGTTAACATAAAATCTTACATATATCTGCATTATTGTCGTTAAATACAGCACAAAAGCTTATCACAACAGTGAATACATCAGTTGAAACATTCAAAAATCAGTGTTAACAGAGATGAATAACATCATAAAATAACACTAAATGAAGGCAAAATCACCTGTCGTGTTGCCGGGGGTTACCAGGGTGGCGTTGCCATGGGCAACCAGGGTGCCATTTCCCAGATCACCATCCGGATTTTCCTCCACACTCGTAGGTAGCGAAGCTTCCGTTCCTAGTTCTGACTCTGCATTCGGAGATTCCGAAGTTTTGTCCGATTCCCCCCCTTGCTCGGATGAAGCTGTTTTTTCTTCCAATCCCACCCGTGTGGAGGATAGCTGCTTCCCGTCTGGGCCCAAACCTGTGGCAGATCCTGACGTTTTGTCTGTCAGGTCTGATTCCTCATGTTGTGATTTCAACACTGTCGTATCAGACTCTATATCAGAGCCTGTTTTACTGTCAGATTCTGTAGCTGCTAGAGAACCCTCGAGTGTTCTGTCCGATTCTGGATCAGTTCTGTCCTGTTTCTCTGACTCTATGACTGAAGAACTTTCTGTTCTGCCCACTTCTGTTGGAGAAGAACGTTCTTGTCTGTCTGAGTTTGTTTCTGTAGGTACAGAGTTTTCTGTTCTCTTCAGTTCTGCGTTTCGAGAAGCCGGCATTCTGTCTAGTTCTGTAGAACTGTGTGGAGATGTTCTGTCCAACTCTGCTACAGAACTGTGTGATGTTGGTCTGTCCAGATCTAGATCTGCAGAACTGTCTCTCTGTTTGCTGGTGTCTGTGTCAGACTGGAGTTCTTCCATCCCATTGTAGAACGACTCGTGTTGGTTACCGCCTGATGCCAGCTGAGCTGCAGGGAGGGAAAATACTTAATTTTCAGCTTTGAGATACATTTTTTGTGCATGTGGATTTTCATAATCTGTATAATGACTGTTACAGCTATGAGGTGGAAAAGAAATGGTTTCTGAACATTTTAGTGTGATCCATACTTTCTAAATTTTGAGTGACTCACTCACGTCCGCAAATTCTAAGTGGTGCAAGAAAGTTTCAATAGTTTGGTTCAGTTCAACTTGTCTCTCTAGGTACTAGTATTTAACTCTTGGTGCCTTGTCGTCTGGCAAAAGGGCACAAAAACAGAAGTAAGGCCCCCCTCCCACCCCACGAAAAACGCGTTTTTAGCCTGAATTTACGTCGTGTTTTCTGAACAAAGAATACAGTTACTTCTCCTGTATACACCTAACCTTCCCCGGCGGCCAAACTTACCTTTCGCTGTGGACAACACCAGGAAAACTACCAGATAGTTTCTGTAGAGCTGACGATGTTTTATATATGTGAGGGCCGCCATCTTGGATACTAGTAGATGACAATGCGCCCCCTTGCGGAGATGTCTGAATAACAACTAAATCTGTTTACTCTCCAAGCAAAGATTTGGGTTTTGGCTTTAATACTGGTATTTTTTGGCGTTTTTATGGCTTTTTTATGGGGCTTTCTGTTTTGCACTGGTATCTTTTTTATGCCAACATAAAAGAAGATAACGGAGCAAAAAAGAAAGCCTGATAAAAAAGCTATAAAAATGCCAAAAATAAGCCAAAACGCAAACCTCTGCTTGGAGAGTTTAATCTGTTGAAGGGTCGTTGAATGTAGACTGAGAATTATAACAACACAACAAACATGTGATAGGTTTTCTTCATTCATTAGAATCGTGTTAGGCATTTGCAATACTGGCAATAGTCCTATACTGGATATTACTTGAGTATATGATTCACATAAGTTTATTTACAAAAACAAAACATTCACAGTGAGTATAACATTATGTATATACCAGTATTCTGTGCCCACCACCAAAGCTTGCGTATACATATTTTTCGAGGCCCACATAGAGGCCATATACTTGTTTCTACTAGCATATTTCAGTTGTCATACTCCTTGTAATCATATTCTGTTTCCATTTATTTACAGTAGTTAGAAGATCTTCGTAAGGACCTATGCATTGATTGACTACATTAGTGCTTCGGGACTGTACAATATTTATAATTATATTATGATTATATATGAATTATATTATATTATATTACAATATTATAATTTATAGTCAGACAGCTTACTCTTCTGTGGGTTGTTGGTTGCATGTGTTGTACAATAAGTTAGAATTTAGTGTTTGGTTAGAGTACAAATGTACTTACTAGTAGTAGTCACATCCTGTATTGTTACCTGAATAGCAAAGTTTTTTCTATCACAACCATTTCTTTTTCAAGCCGACGTTTCGATGACCTTCTGTCATATTCATCAGGGCAATTCTGAGTTTGGGCAATTCTGAGTTTGGGCATCTTCATCAGGGCAATTCTGAGTTTGGGCATCTTCATCAGGGCAATTCAGAATTGCCCTGATGAAGATTACAGAAGGTCATCGAAACCTCGGCTTGAAAAATAAATGGTTGTGATAGAAAAAACTTTGCTATTTAGGCGTTTACCAACCTGATGAAATTATTTACGGATGTATTGTCACCTGTTGTCCAATGTCCATCCTTTTTTTTTTCATGTTACAGGTACTTGGTGTAGGTAGCCTATGGGAAAGAACTTGCAACTTTCTCTGTGTAATGTTTTACTCTGGGTTTTCAGGTGTATGCATTGAATTTACTCTGGGTTCTCACCCAGAAATTCAGGTGCATGTGTTGTGTCATGTTTTACTGGCCTGGCCAAAGTGGTAGGCTGCTGCAATAAACTTGTTCTGTAATGTTTTACTCTGGGTTGTCAGGTGCATGCGTTGTGTAGTGTCTTACTCTGGGTTTTCAGCCAAAATTTCAGGTGCATGTATTGTGTATTATGCTTCAACCGTCTGGATTTTCAGGTGCGTGTGTTACATAATGTTTAGACAGGTGAGACCTGCTGATTGTTCTAAACCCACACTTGTTGCACACAAACGGCTCCTTCCCCTTGTGCTTGGCCACGTGACTGTCCAAAGTTTTCTGGTCGATCGCACCAAAGTCACACTGGCTACATTTGAACGGCTTCAGCCCCTTGTGTCTCTTCAGATGCCTGGCGAGACCAGAGTGGTAGGCAGTACGGAAACCACAGTCCTTGCAAACGTAGCGTTTCTCCATTGGGATGCCCATGTGTTTTGCCATGTGGATTTCCAGGTTTTTCTTCTGCACCGAAGAGTAGCTGCAGAGGGTGCACTTGTGAGGGTAGTCCCGGGTGTGGGTGGACATGTGCTGGAAGGAAGGAATGAATGGTTTATTAAAAAAAGTACTAGTACATTGGAGCCATAGGCTGAATTATGAACCTAGAATTACGTACTATTTGAACTATAGCACAATACTGTAATTTCTGATTTTTTCACAGTACATGTACTTTTATATTCACTGTTTTCACTGTCACTTCTGGACTTTCTTTTTCCTGCACCTGTCACCACCGTGAATATATACATGTATAGAACTTAAGTTCCGTGAACATGTCCACTTTTCTGACACTGTGAAATTTTGCTACAGTGAACATAAATTGAATTACATGTAGTAACAACACACATGATGCCTTAAAAAGAGAAATATTGTAGGACATCATTAAAATCACCTTAGCCAGGCTGACTTTATACACAGTTCTGAAGCCACACTCCCCACACATGTAGGGTTTCTCGTCGGCATGTTTGGCCAAGTGGATGTCCAGACTGCCCTTCCACACCGTGCTGAATGAATGATTGAATGAATGAATGAATGGTTTATTTGATCATTTTGATCAGGAAAGTACATTGCATCCATGGGCTGAATTGCGTACTTTTTACATCTTTAAAAACAGTTGGCATTAGACTCTTTAAATACTGGTATATAAAGCACTCATCTTATGTCTCCTATTCAACATATATAGTGTTATATATATAGTACCTAGCTAAATCCTACGTGATAACTGCATATTGTGGATAGATTTTAATTGTGTAATCGTCTTCGAATATGTCTTAACAGTGTGTTTGCCTATGATGATTCATGTGTACAATGAAGAGTGTCACAAATCATTGTTTTTAATGCTCTATGTACTATGTAATAATTAGGACGAAATTCGGGTATTTGCCCGCGAGAGCTTTACTGAATAAAAATTTGATTTGACTTGATTTGAAGAATTCTAAAACACAAGAACTCTACCTGAAGTCACACTGGTCACACTTGAATGACTTTTCCCCGACGTGGGTCTTCATGTGCTGATCGAGATGGGATTTGAGCGCTGCCCTGTGGCCGCACACTGTGCACACGTAGGGTTTGTCACCTGTGTGTTGTTTCAGGTGCCGGTCCAGCTGGATTTTTGTAGCGGAGCGGTAGTCGCACTGGTCACACCTGTAGGGTTTAGTTTTTTCGTGAAAAAGTGCACATTACAGTTTTGTAGGTGTGAAAGTGATGTGGACCCTCGTAGTAGTAAGGAACATAGAGAACTGTCATTGGAACAAATTATCACATATCAAAACACTGGGGGAGGGCAACTTGTAAAGGTGCGTATGCACCTGTTTTGCCCTCCCTTTCACTTAGTGAAAAATCGAAATAAACAAATAAACTGACCAGTATATCTATCTTTAATGAAGCTATCCGCCAAATATTCAAACAGTAAGACTTTCCGTGATTAGTTTTTAGATAATGTATCTTCATTTGTATATGGTTTAAATCTCCTTTTGTGTTATATGCGTGTGTTTTTCCTATATTTTTTGTTGTATTTATATTTTTGAACCCTGGAAGACTAGCCTTTTGGCTAAAGCCAGTAAAGGGTATCGAAGTAAAGAGAATAAAGAGTATACTACCTGTAGGGTTTCACCCCAGTGTGGATCTTCATATGCACGGCCATGCTGCCCTTCACATACGTGGTGTACTCGCACTCCTCACACACGTACGGCTCCTCTCCTGTGTGGGTTTTCATGTGATTCGACAGGCCGAACTTGGAACCGAATGTCAGCCCACACTCTTTACATTTGTAGGGTTTCTCTCCGCGATGTTTCGCCGCCATGTGTGTGTCTAAGTCCTTTTTCTTCGCTGCGCAGAAATCGCACTGTTTGCAACTGTACACTCGCTCTCCGTTGTGTTTTTTTATGTGGAGGGAGAGGTGGGACTTGTTCGCCGTTCGGTAGTCGCATTCCCAGCACATGTAGGGTTTCTCACTGGTCCTGTTCGTTCGGCAGGCCGCCCAGTTCACCTACAAATACAGTCATTTCATTATGAAGCAAGTTTAAACTGCAATTTCCAACACAACAAATTGCGCTCACCCAAATTTTTGACTGCACAACTCCAGTCTTTGTCAAGGAATGAGCAATGACGAAGACTGGCATTGTACAGTCGAAAATTTGGGTGAGTCCAACTTGTTGTCACATTGTCATATATATGTATATATATATATATATATATATATTGGCATGCCCCGACTCCATATCTACGTACTTACTTAGGCCAATATATATGTAGTGCATTAGAAAAGAGAGAAAGTCTTAACAGATAACAATGCCTAATACACATCATGTCTAGTAGTAGTCTCTTATTCCTGTAGTAATACTAGTAGTCTCTTAGAATAGACTTGATTGTATTGTTTACATTGTCATTGTTGCCATACATTGTACCATGTACAACTGTCGAGCAATAAAGTTCATTCATTCATTCATTCATTCATTCATTCATTCATTCATTCATTCATTCATTCATTCATTCATTCATTCATGTGCTGTGAAAGCAAAAGCAAGACTCTTACCCATATAAATTATAACGTTACATACATTGTACTAATTTTAAAAGTTATCTCGATCCTGCAAGATGCTAGTTTGACTACCTAGGAAAAGTAGAACAAAGGAAGTGATCCATAAATGAAGGTGTCTTGGTAACCATGGCAACTGTTGCCGTGCGCAGGAGGTACAGAGGCCACGCCCGGAGACGAGGCGACCAATGAAAACGGAGAGTCGAATTCATTCATTCATTCATTCATTCATTCATTCATTCATTCATTCATTCATTCATTCATTCATTCACCTGTTGGGAGGACACAGCTCCAAACTGGTTACCGTAGTAATCAGTTAGCTCAGTCGTGTTGTCATCCTCATCCTCATACATGTTGGGCTCCTCATCACCACTGTTGCTAGGCGAATCCTCCATTTTGACCTTGACCTCGGAGCCCCCAAGGTCATGATCAATTCCTGACTCTGTTTTGATGTCATCTGTCAATGGTGGGAGGCTTTTCTGGGAAACTTTGGTTGGAGACCCACAATTCTTGGAATCCTCCATTTTGACCTTGACCTGGGAGCTCCCAAGGTCAGATTCTGGCTCTGTTTTGATGCCAGCTCTCAACAGTGGGAAGGATTCATGTGAAACCTCGATTGGAGACCCACAGCTTGCTGAAGCCATCTGTGGCAGAAAGAAAATGGGAGAAAAGTCTTTTAAGATTTTGCGCAGCTGTGTGATCTAAGGGCTGAGGAAAAGGAGATTAGCACTGCCCTACATGTGCATAATCTCCAAGCAGATCACGCGGTGGCAAGGAAGTAACCATACGCGCCATTGCTGCTTTTGTTAACATCATATACTAGTACATGTATATGCAAATCATGTGAAGACATATGCAAATTATTGGTAGGCATTTGTCCCTACTGTAACATCATGGTGATCGCTCATAATGGCCAGAGCACTAGCAACCAATGGACACAGCTCTGGCCAATGGATACCGCCTTGCCACCGTATGATCTGCTTGGAGATTAGCCATACATGACATATGATGTTGGAAGTACTTCTTTGACTGGAAGCAGACATTTAACCTAATTAAAATCACACTCACAACAGCCCTGGCAACATTGTGCAACACAGGCCAACAATTTTTATAGTTTTTTTTTTTTTTTTTCATACCACTTTTCTTTCTTTCTTTTTTTTTTTGCTGCATCAGTGTGTGTATGGCCTAAAATTCTAAATTGGCCTGCCTTAATTTGATGTTAAGTATAGTTGGCACATGTGGCTCAATTATTTTAAGTAATAACTAGATAGTAATATTAGCGGTTGCTAATATAGACAGGTTTGCGTTGTACATAGTCATTGTAGTGTAACTTACAATATGTTTTTTGTGTGTGCTTTACCTTTTACAGGGTTCCTTCTCATCCTTTTCTAATCCCCACTTACCTTGTAAACAATTTCGTCATCAATATACTAACAAAAGAACAATAGTAACACCCAAAACAAAATTTCACTTCTTTATGACTTCTCTATGCCCCATGACCTTTAACCTTTTGAGGGTCATGCAGGCGTCAACAGCGCCCTCCCCACGCCTTGCCCACCTACCTACCTACCTACCTACCTACCTACCTACCTACCCTCGCAAATGCAAGGTGATGTTTCTGCACTTCTCAAAAACTGTGCCACCACTACCCTCACTAAAGGTCTCATTCCGGTATTCTTCCGCGTGGGTACTCTCAAGTAGATCGTACTAAAAATTAAATGCGTGTATGGATGTGTGTTTATATCCGCCAGAAATTGCATTTTAGCTAAGTCAGTTGGCGTAAACCGCTTGTGATATGAGAGGTTGTTTGTATGTGCTAAAATTAGTGGGTAAGTGTTGACATCCGCGCGACAGGTCGGATGTTTACACGCTGTTGTGATGGGTAATGCGGTCAGGAGGTAGCAGCGCTGGAGGACCTCTGGCGGAGAGTGGCCAAGTGCAGTTTATAAATAAATAAAAAGAGATTGTTGGGTTAGATCTGGTTGGGAATTTTTTGACGTAATGTAGGGCCATTGTGCTCAAAATTGATTGGATAGACTAGATGGCTGTCATTCAAATTATTGGGTTTTGGCCTATGTAAAGTTACGTATTTTGCCATAGGCGGCTATAGTTAACAAAAACTCACGAATGGGACCTTAAAATTGACAACTACCCCCTAGTACAAGTTCAAGTAGCTAAACTCCTGGGGCTCCATATACAAGCTGACCTAAAATGAAACACCCAGGTGGACCACATGGCCAAGAAGGAAGC